CTGATGGTCCAGATGTTTGAAAAATTATGTTTCCTTGAAAACACCATTCAGTTTCCATCTGCCGTCAACCACGCATCGAATGCCTCAATGGAAGACATCTTGGTAGCTGGGGGCTGGGACAGTGATGGTAATGCTTTAAAATCTGTTGAGAGATTTTCGTGGAAGAAGAATGTCTGGGAAAGAGTGTCCTCAATGAAAGTTGGTCGTAAAGGAGCAACGTCGTTTGTTTACGAGAATCAAGTATTTGTCGCTGGCGGATGTGATAGTCGCGTAATTGAGGTATTAAATTTGAACGAAGATCTGTTGCAGTGGGATGAATCTATGGCTAAACCTCCCTACCATTGTGAATACCTTCGCTCTGTGGTTTACCAGAACCGCGCAGTTATTTTATGCGCATGTGAGGACACTGAGTATTGCGCAGAACTTTGTCTTACCGCACCTTACCCATGTAAGCAGTTGTGTAAAATTCCTGAACCGGCAAGAAAATCTTATACCGTGGTTGCATTTGAGCACAAAGTGTTAATTTTTGGAGGATTATGTTGTGGTACAGATGATGATGTACTTGATAGCGTGTTAGAATTTAACATTGGTACGAATAAATTTAAAGCTATGCCTTCATTTCCCTGCGGTCTGTGTAATTTGGCAAGTGTTCGTTGGCGGGATCAAGCAATTTTGATTGGAGGTGCGGTTAAAGATGGCCCATCAAAAAAGGTTTATATGTACAATTCCAAAACGGGCACCACCACTGAATTGCCATGTATGTTAGAAGAAAGAAATGGCTGTGCTGCTGTCATTACAGGCAATACAATTGTTGTGATGGGTGGACGGGGAAAGACGACAGGTCGTGTTAGATCTGTTGAAGCTTTCACTTTGGGAGGTTATACCTGGAGATATCTTCCTGCTATGAATGAAATTAGAAGTCTCTCTACTGCAACTGTTTTACCAACAAAAAACTTTTGATGCGTATTAGTGACAATATATGCCAGAGACAAACAGAATGCAACTTTTGTTTTGCATTGGTATTGATTATGTACAATGAAACATGATAGTATTAACTAGAACTTGATGCGGGTATATTCAAAACAAATCCATGTTGGTTATTGCGAGTGTGGCAAACTGACCTTGTTATATTCAATTAGATTAAATTTTAGATTAATTAGAATATTAAATAACATTACATACAAATATAGACAACTATGATTGAACATAAATACATAATAAGTGATTGGGGCAGCATGACAATAACAAATAGATTTTGTGAGCTTTACTTTTTTTGTGGCGTGTATTGTGTTATTATATACTCGGTGTGAGCACAGTTTGGTGTGAGACGATGATGTCTATGTACTGTTTAAAGCACGCGTAGGAGTGTTTTATCAGATATAAAACACGATCGAGTACGCAGCTCGAGTGTTTTATACTGATAAAGCACTCCTACGCGTGGTTTAAATAGTACATAAATATGTACAACGAAACATGATAGTACTAGAACATGATGTATATTCAAAACAAATCCATGCACGTAGGTTATTGCGAGTGTGGGAAACTGACATTAGATTTTGACATTTTGTACTATTTACAACATGAGCGGCCATATACAAACTCGAGCCGAATGTTATATCCGATACAACACCGATGCGAATTATGTAAATCAGCACGATTTTGTATCAGATATACTTTTTGCATCAGATAATGTATAAAAACGCATTTTTGTCATCTGGACTTCTTTTTCGCGACAAACGTCAAGTCTGTTTCAAGGTGACCCTGTTTAACGAAAAGAACAAACGTCAATTGATAACTAGCGAAATTTAATGTCCCAAGTTGTCAACAAGTTCAGAACAAGCTGTTAACAACTTGTAACACGCTTGATGGCATTATCAGACCTGTTGCAAGGTTGTTCCAACATGCAAGTCCCATACAGTCATGATATAACAATATTGTTACAATCTTGTGTCGTCAACCTTGTAACATTCTTGTTATATCATGACTGCATCAGACTTGTTAGAACAACCTTGTAACAATCTTGTTGATATTATCAGACTTGTTGCAAGGTTGTTCCAACAAGTCCCAGACAGTCATGATATAACAATATTGTTACAACCTTGTGTCGTCAACCTTGTAACATTCTTGTTATATCATGACTGCATCAGACTTGTTAGAACAACCTTGTAACAAGTCTGATAATGCCATCAAGCTTGTTACAAGTTGTTAACAGCTTGTTCCAAACTTGTTACAACAACTGGGAACAAGCAGTGCGAACACAAGTTGTCGACAGCTTGTGAACAGATTTGTAACAACTTGTTTGCAGACCTGTAACAACTTGTGCGTTTTACGTGTCTAGTTGACCACAGTGCCGATATCACAATGCTCACCTTAATAGCCGCTGCCACGGCATTGACATCCAGGAGAAATGTATCATGGCCAAATATGGAAGGTAATTCGTAATATGTGACTGAATGATTTCCTATAAACGCAAGAAACGTATTAAGATACTAAAATTTTAAAAGATGATGTAAAAAGTTATATAAAAGTTCCCTCTATACTAAATTGAAAATTCGCATATCCCTTGTGATGAATTCCCTGTAAAATCATGTTGAACTTTTTGTTTTACACAGTACACTATTTTTACTAAGTTATGTGATGCATCAGATGGGCGATGCTTCTTCACAGACCGGGATGATACGGCTTGGAAAATGATTCGACTCTCATTGTGAACGTCTGAAATTCAAGCTATTCAAAGTATATTTTAAGAGGCAGATTATTGGTCCAGTCGTGGTCACCACGCTTGCCTTTCAAGCTGGAAGACCTGGGTTCAATCCTTGGTCGGACCTCTACTCAAAGTCTTAAAATAATTGAGGAGAGATTGCTACCTTTACATTGACATCAGTAAATGCTTAGACTTTCGCGTCTTTTCGGATAAAGACGTTTTGTCGTAGGTACCTCGGACCACCTATCAACTGGGCAATAGCCTGCTGGGAAATCCGCTCACCAAATGAGTGAGAAATTCAATGAACAACGGATCCAGCCTCGTTAGTGAGCTTAAGCAAGGGGTTAGGATAAAACGCGGATACGGACGGACGGATGGATGGCGGACGGACGGACGAAAGTTTTTGTCAACACGGACGTCATTCGAAAAATGGTGTAACTAATTTTGGCGGCATTTTGCATCATAGCGCTCGTGTATGGAAGCAAATGTGTTGAAGTTTACCACAAACTGATACAAACACAGTTTTTAATCCAGTCCACCCCCTTCGGCATTCTGACTCTCTGTGTCGCTTGCTTAATAACCTTGCTTTTATCTACCACCGACGCCACTTATTCATACCTGAATCTTTTAACACTTCGTCCAGCTCTCTTTGTTGCTGGACAGGAAAAAGCAGGTCTGACTGCACACCCATGATCTTGGATAAAAAAATGCAAAATCCTTTAACAATTAGCTATGTCGAGTATTGCCCAACACCAATATAAGGATTATAAGCTCGTGGTTTTTTAATGATTGGTATAGTAAAACATCTGCCTTACCAGTACAGGGCATTTTATCCTTGACATGCCTTCATCGAGGGTATTATAACCTTCCCCTAAATCAAAGAGGTCCATTGCCTGAACGATAGAACACAAGAGAAATATTAGATTTACCTAAGCCCACTGACTTTTCATCGTTTCGACGTACACACGTAAAAACGCACAAGTTGCTACAGGTCTGCAAACAAGTTGTTACAATGTTTTTGATGTTGCTCTGAGTGTATATCCACACCGGGCAAGCTGAAAAGTTAGCCTGACCACGGTGGCCAATCGAACCCGCGACCTTTGGGATACTAGTCCAATGCTCTGCCAACTGAGCTACGAGGCCAAGTCTGTTCGAGTGTGTGGTATTTCGGAACTAAGTCTAGTACCTTCGATACCAATGTGTTCTATGATCATGATATTTATCAAGTTGTTACAAATCTGTTCACAAGCTGTCGACATGTTGTGTTCGTACTGCTTGTTCCCAGTTGTTGTAACAAGTTTGGAACAAGCTGTTAACAACTTGTAACAAACTTGATGGCATTATCAGACTTGTTACAAGATTGTTGTAACAAGTCTGACACAGTCATGATATAACAAGAATGTTACAAGGTTGATCATACAAGGTTGTAACAATATTGTTATATCATGATTGTATCGGACTTATTGGAACAACCTTGCAACAAGTCTGATAATATCAACAAGGTTGTTACAAGTTGTTAACAGCTTGTTCTAACCTTGTTGACAACTTGGGACAAGCAGTGCGAACACAACTTGTTGACGGCTTGTTGGCAGACTTGCCACAAGATGTGAGATTTTTGCGTGTGTAGTTGTAAAATTGCACCAAAGCTTTGATGTCGACTCTCAGTCAAAGAGTGGATCCTGAATTAGATGTGTTAAAGGGAACGAGGTTCATTTAACCAGGGTTCCTGGTAAATTTATTTAATCAGGCTATATGGTTAAATTAACCAGATAATGTTAGGTGGACTGTCAACCAGGAATTCTTCATTAATCTACCTAACATAAAATGGTTAATTCAACCGTATAGCTTGGTTAAATTAACCAAGAATCCTGGTTAAACTAGCCAGGACTATCACCACATTAACCAGGACTGTGGTTACATTAACCTGGAAATTTAAAAAGGAACATTACGTTACCTCTGTTAAACTTTACCTTAGAAATGTACAGCATGGAATTGGGATCATATTTCAGACAAAAACTTTCACCCTAAAGAGCAAAATATATTCCAGAACGAAAACTTTAAAGTAGCAGCTGACCTTATTTATTCTGGATAGCTCTAGCTGTTCTAAACCTACAAGATCAAGGGTCTTATTGTGCTTTATAACAATGATATCAACGTAACGAAGTATCTTTAAAAAGCAAAATACACTAATTATTGAAGAAAAAAAAAACATAAAATGCGTCATAGCAACTATCGGCAAATCTACAGTAGAAATATTTCGAAAGTTCTTTAAATATATTTTTAGCTCTGAATAGATGGTTTGGAAACTCATTAGAATAACAATATAACTCATTATCTATGTTTAATTGTCAACGTTTATTCATAGCGTATTGTATTTTTAAGAAAGTTAGCTGTCCGTGACTCGAACAATAGGGTATAATTGCTGTGAAGGACCATATTTATGAATAAACGTTGAGGGACCATATTTATGAAACGAATAAACGTTGACTAACGTAGATAATGAGTTCTATTGTTATTCTAATGAGTTTCCAAACCATCTATTAACTATGGGTAACACTGGTCCAATGAAGCATGGTCCTTACTGGACCTTTACTTAGGCAGCGTTTACACTGTACCGTTTTCGTAGCGTTCTCGTATTGTTCGAGAGAACTAGACTATTGTCTTGCGTTCCCTTGAGGATTAAGAACGGGGAGGTTAGGTAAGCAACGAGTCAAATCCAATTAATAGTGGTTAATTCTAGAAAACTTGTACAAACATTTGTAGATATGGCTCCCAGAAAAATGGATTTAGTTTAAATATATTTAGCGAATGTGTGATGATGACAATAAGTCTACAATTTTATGAAATGTTTCAGTTGATAATTAATATAATCAATAAATCTCTAAAGATATTTTCACGTGTATTGTGCGTTGTTCCAATGTAATAATAACAGAATTTTGTGATTTTTGACCTTCCAAATACTTCTAAAAACTCGTATCAGAATGTCTGAAATGGCGTTTCCGAGCCCTAGAAATCCAAACTTTTCCCGGGGGACCAGCCCCCGCAACCCCCCAGGTGACTCATGCATGGCTTCATCACTCAATGCTCGCTCCCCAAACATTCCACCCTGCATATAAAATGACAATGATAACAATTTCATTTGTAGTTGACGATACGGATGATGTTATGGAAGATGTCATGTTGCAGTGGCCTCGCCATCTGCCCCATGGTCTTCAAAGCCAAGCCAGTGAGATATTGGGGGGAAGCAAAAGTCAAACAATGGACCATTACCTAATGAACAAAGTTTTGATCTAGTCCACCCTGCATGCATATAAAGTGACAATGATAACAATTTCATTTGTAGTTGACGATACGGATGATGTTACGGAAGATGTCATGTTGCGGTGGCCTCGCCCTCCGCCCCCTGGTCTTCAAAGCCAAGCCGGTGAGATATTGGGGGGGGGGGAGGGCAGGTGAGGTAAGCAACGAGTCAAATCCAATGGACCTATTACCTAATGAACAAAATTTTGATCTAGACAAGTCTAGACAAAAAATTCATCACAGCTTGAAAGAGCATCACAAAATTAGTAATATTCCGAAGTTTCGTTGCGAAATGTTGTAAATTGCGGATAATATAGCCTTGCGAAGTTTGCCGTTTTTCGGTCATTTTGTATTACGCAAGGGAAATTGATACCTTTTTTCAGAAAGCGGTGAAACCATATGCAGGGAAAGTTGACAGTGTGTTGACACAATTGTTGTAAAAAGAATCATTTCATGCAGTTTCGGCGCCCCGTAAAGCTTTTGCAAATTCAAAATTCCTCGCAGGGCCAAGCCCCCAGCCCCCCGTCAGCACGCCACTGGATTTCACTCCCCAATGAGGGTCTCCTAGGGGTAGGCCCGTAACTAGCATTTTAGATTTATCAAGTCAAGCGCCGAGAAATCTATGTAGAGGGGTGTGGAGGCATGCTCCCCCAGAACATTTTTTTATCTTCTAAGGCTTAGGAAGTAGTCATTATTAATGACGGGGGTGGGGCGGAAGTATTTTACAAATCTTGACTTTTTCGTGACCCCTCTTCTACTCCGAATAATTTTTCATGACTCACCCCCAAGTTTACTGTTTATTTTCCAACCCCCCGCCCCAATATTCGGACTAAACGAAATGAAAATATTAGTGTTTTTTTCAATAGGCATGGAAATTTAAATTACACATTATTCAAAATATATGACAACCCAAAACGATAAACGATTTATTTTATAGAAATTTAAATATTACTTTCTGTATCAAAAATATGTTTTAATATATTCTAGATAAATTAGTGGAAGACATTCGCACAGGAGTTTGGCAGTTGACCCGTAAGGATTAGTAATTTACTAATTTTGATACCATGTCATGCCATGATATGTTCATAATTATATAATTATTTGTGATGCACACTACATAATATTTTAATTTTAAGCTTATACTTTTTTCTTGTTTTTTTTTGTAGATTAATAGAGTGGCAATCTTTCACTTGCAAACGCATTTGTAGCTTATAGAAAAAAGTTTTAAAAAATTATGTATTGATTGAGTAGTAATAATGCATGCAAAAATAAAAATGTTTTGAACTTCTATAGTATCGCAGTTTTAAGCGTGCCCACGTGATTTTCAAAACAGAGTAACGATCGACTTGACCGTTGCATCTTTGTGTAATTGTTCTTTCACAATACGATAATCATAGAGAAGAATCTTCACTAATTTTCCAGTTTAGCATTAGGCAATATACACAGTTACTTTAAACAAAATTATTGTGGAAAATAGCTGAAAATGCACTTTCCAAACTTGTAATTTTTTTTTTTTTGGGGGGGGGGGGGCGTATGCCCCTCAGATACCCTTAATGAGGAACTTTGTACTTACTTGATGGTCAAGATAGCCTTCAATCATAAAGTCTGCACTAAAACAAGGATTTGATGCATCTTTAGACTTGTTTATTTTCCTCCGTCCAAATCTTGTTTCCCACTCCCGACCGCTACGATAACTCACTGTTGCGATGGATCTACATTAGAAATGTATAAATAATACATGTAAATGCAGTAAATGTTGTTGGGGTAACATCATACAGTTTAATTTTCTGGTGATACCATTTATGAGACTTTTTCCGACTTTTCAGCTATACTTGCATGCAGTAATAACTGATATGACCGCGAATTCAGTCTACGCAATGTCAACCCACTATAGCCATATAGTCCAAGACTGTGGTCCTATAGTCAAGACTATTATAGTCCGATAGTTCTAAAGTCCGAGACTATAGTCATATATAAGTTCTTTGTATGTTTGCATGGCGATAAAACATATAATAGTTTTGTTTGTGGAAACACCACGTAAATTTATTACTGCAAAGCTTTCGATCCGTAAGCCCGGATCTTCATCAGTGCTAATAATATGGACTATATTATTATAGTCATATAGTCCAAGACTATAGTCATATAGTCCAAAACTATAGTCATATAGTCCAAGACTATAGTCATATAGTCCAAGACTATAGTCATATAGTCCAAGACTATAGTCATATAGTCCAAGACTATAGTCATATAGTCCAAGACTGTAGTCCTATAGTCCAAGATTATAGTCCGATAGTTCGATCTAAAGTCCGAGACTGTAGTCATATAGTCCAAGACTATAGTCATATAGTCCAAGACTATATATAGTCATATAGTTCAAGGCTATAGTCATATGGTCCAAGATTATCGTCATATAGTCCAAAACTATAGTCATATAGTCCAAGACTATAGTCATATAGTCCAAGACTATAGTCATATAGTCCAAGACTAGTCATATAGTCCAAGACTATAGTCATGTAGTCCAACAGTTAATATTTAGTCGTAGCATCATTACCTTGCATTTTTCATTCCTAACGAAGGAAATGGACCGTCGTAATAGAACCCATCATTCCAATTTGGATCACTCATCAATACTTGTCGTTGTATGTATCTTTGAGCTATGGACGACGGATGGGACTGAGCACACGACGATATGGATACAACTCTACGACAATATGAACGTTTTCCTTTGTTATATCTTGCGGACAGTATATAAGCAGCGAAAGCTTAAGCTGGAAGGGATCAGAGAAAAGTTTATAAGAAATATTAATTTGTTGTTGTTGTTGTTTAAGAAGAAGAATTTGATACTGTTGGAGTTATTGTCGTCGTAAAGACTTAAAGGAAAGGAACTATATACTAAAGTGTGAAAGGACAAAGTCTGAAAAGCAAAGCTGTGTCATTGTCAATAGACAGATAAGTTTGAACTATCCTGATTCTTCGTTCTTTTAGTTTTCTTTTATTAATACATAATTTAAAAAATAAGACTCTTCTGTTTTTAAGTCTTTCTTGTTACGGTGAACGTAACAAAAGCTAAACTAAACTAACTTAATTTATTTATAGCGGAGAAGGCCTATTTCATGAACTAGACTTACGCACAATCAATAATCGATTAGGACCATCATTCTTACCTTTCCTGTTAAAGGATTTATAGAAGAAGGGCCACTAGAAAACGTTAATAATGATATAGTTACAAAAGAGTCAAAGCCATTGCAATGGTTTGAGTGTTATCAAGAGAAGAAAACTGGGTATCCGGCGTAAATCTCTGCGGTTTGATAGAGACATTCGCCACGAGTTTATTCACGAGTTGGACAGCAAGAAATGACAAACCTTGATCCATAACATCCACCGATGACGTTAACACAGATGACGAAAAATTTATCCGTATCCAACGCACATCGGGGTCCAATAAAAGCTTCCCACCAACCAGGATTCGCGTTTTCCTAAGTGGAAATTAAAAATGTCTAATGAACAGTTTAGGCTACTCATCCTTACTGAATACGAGAACGCTACGAAAACGGTACAGTGTAAACGCTG